ATAAAAAGCTTTTTATATTTACTTATACAAGAAATATTTCGTTAATACTTTTGTTTTCAAATGGCTTTTCCAGCCACCATTTTTTTGTTTCCGATATTTAAATTCTGGCCTTATTTATTTATTATTATACAGACATACATATTTTAATTTTCGTTATTTTGCACCTTTAGTCTTATGCACTGTGAACTGCTAAACCTATTTCCCGGCATAAATATATACAAACCAACTAATCATTATTGCCTAATTTCAGGGGTCAAGGGGGAGACAAACACACGAGAGACTGAAACGGTTCACTCGTCGCCGCCTGTTGCACGGCTTGATACACCCGATGACCAGCATCAATCGCATACAACCTTTACAAACGTCGACGATAACATTTCAGAAGCCCTAAGCAACAACGATACCAAACTAACGCTCACGCCAACGAAAGACATTTGTCCGGCGCCTTTAACATTGGACCAGCCAACGTATCAGTTAACAGCACAGGATCAAAGCATCACCATTAGCACCAACTGCATTAGTGGCAGTAATACAAGTAACAGCAGATCGTATGAAAGTAGAAAAACATTGTCAACATTACGTTTAGGAGGTGCTAACATCGTCGATAATGTTGAAGATGACGAAACGGTAGTCACCTCTACTTATGCTGGACCATTGAAGGAGACACACATATATACACCTTCGAAGACAGAAATGGCGACAACAGTGAAAACTTGCAAATCGCCTACTAACGGCAACGAGCCAATTGATTTCGATTATGAGATTGCTGCGGCGGGCATAATAATCGATGAAAAGGTGGTGAAAAAGGAATATCGGGATGTCGAATACAATCCCGGCTTCAGCTTAGAAATGGTGAATGAATATGCTGGCGAATTGCCTACAGGAGTGCCCACGCCTTTGGAGTCTGAATTAAGTATACCGGTTTTGGCATTGACGCAGCCAGAACCTCAGCATCAGCAACAACCAAATCCATCGGTTGAATTGGACACCGATGAATTCGCCGATTTTACCGAGTTTCAATCAGTGCCACCACCAACTCAGGCAACCGTAACAGTTGCAACTGCGTCTTATGGCGGCGTCACATCAAATCCCTCTAGTACAATAGCGTCCGCATTCCAAAAGGAATCAAATGGTAAAGCAACAAACATAAACGCACCCCCTGCATTTGCAGCAGCTATTTCAAAGGCAAAAGAAGCTGGTAAGATACCTAGTCGCACGAGCTCACCATCTATTATTGACAATATGATACTCAGTCCGGCCATACTGTTGCCACAAGCTATTCCAATGAACGCAAATAACACAGTGGCGGGTAAAGCTACGCCAAGTATTGAGTGGGGTGATACAACGGCCAATATCAATCCGGATGAATTAGCGCGCATTGAAGAACTTTTCCCGCAGCCCAAAATCACGGCTGCCAAAGATGCAAACACATCACAAAAATCATCACCAACGCACAGCTATGCGGATAATCACGCAAAAAACGCTTCTATTTCCATAAGCGCTGCAGTGGCGATGAAGGAGCAGGACTCCACTCTCAGCGATGACTACTGGTCGGAGTTTGTATCAGTGCCAGTGACCCCGCAGTTGCCAAACAATGCCGGTCGGCTCAACAACAACAATAATAACAACTATAAACTTACACCAAACCGCGCTGTAGATGGTCACGTCATTAACAGTGTCACCAACAGCAATAATGCAGTGCGGTCACCACGTCATCATCAACAACACGTAAACGTCCAACGCACGCTAACACCAACGGCACAGCGAAAACCAATTCTCCACACAGCCAGGGGCAGCGTCGCTATCAATAGCAACGTATGCAACAGCAATAGTTATATTAACAGTAATAGCAACACCAACACTAATAGTAACGATGACGATTGGTCTGACTTCGTCTCCAGCACTCCGGCACTTGCAGCGGCACCAACGCACTCTACGCATTACATGCCAACAGCACATGCGCCTCAATTCAATAGCGCCGCCTGGCAAAATGCAAACTTTTACAATAATCCACTCGGTTTATACCATCAGCAGCTTAGCAACATGCAAACGCGTGCTGCACCCTTGACTCCTCAACAGCAACAGTTGCAACTACAACAGCAAATACACATAATGCAGGACTTCTCCACTGCACCCGTAACAGCCCGTCCAAATGTCACTTTCAATAACAGCAACAATGCGCATATCAACAGCATGCAACATTCCAATTCATACTCGCCAATGCAAGTGGGGAATGCCCGAGTGGCGCCGAGCATATCGCTGATTCCCGATTTGGGTTTTGTGGCGCCTGCGATGCCAGTGCATACCGCCTTCATTAATGTCCTACCGAAGACAAGCTTCAACAGCAAAAAATGACGTTTGTTAAATTGCGAGCAGACGCATTATCGTGGTCATACAACACTGGCAAACTCCTATCGAAATCATTTACCAAATGCTAGTCCCGTCACAGCTGGCATCACCTCTTCTATTCACGATATCTTAACATAGAAGCAGCTACACTACATTATGGTGAAAATATATACATAGCTGGGTGTAAGTGGGTAAAGTGGGAAATGCAAAACAGTTAAATAAAATATGTATTATTAATGGATGTCCCTAAATAATTGGCTGAAGAAAAGAGGATCGTTTCTATTCATCTTTACAAGAACTTCTAAGCTGATGAAGCCCAGTAATAAGAGCAATGGTATCGCGCAAAGATGAGGCATATTTTTTCCAATTCTCTGATTTTTCGAATTAAAATTTCTCGGTGCGTTGTATACACCATTTTCATGCGTAAAAGAGCGGTAAAGAACTTCACTTCAATATCAGAAAAACGAGCTACTGAGTAGTAGTATTAAAGTTCAACAAAGTAATGTTATAGTAATTGTTATCGTCATTGATTGCATTGGTATTATACACAGGTCAAAAATTCCTTCTAAGCCCCGCTGAGAACCGCACTATATAGTAAGCTTTTTGGGGTTTAGTTCGCTTCATCTGCTGCTATATCTAAACCAGTGATAGTTCTACGATAAAAATTACAAAGTTGCTAGCTGCTCGTTTATATCGAGCCCCAATCGCGAAAATTACTTTTTTTTCCAATTTATTCGTTTTTGTGGCAGAAATACTCCTAGACTCTCTAGTTGCATTTTTGCATTAAAACTAAAATTTTGAAGAAATTAGCGATTAGGCCTCGATATGTATGTACATATTTACCTAAAATCGACTTCTCCTTTAATTGATTTAAAAATTTTGTAACAACATAGTTAGCCACATACAACCCCACATTTTAAGAGAAGTCATAAAAGTAGTTCTTGTAAAAAAAAGTAAAGCCTATAAATTTTCGGTAGCGATCTGCCTACTTATGGGTGAGTTTTAGTTAAAAAGCAATTGCCCACTTAATTATGTTTAGTATGTAATGTAGTAGTTTGTGTTGCAAATTGAGTCGTTAATTATGTAGTGTGATTGAATAATTGTTTACATTAGTCAAATAAAGTTTTGCTGATGTAGTATGTGTAAAAAAAAAAAATTATTGGAAATTATGTATGCATGTATTAAACACAAGTTGGTAGCAACATTTGTTAAGGGCAATTCAGAAAGCTCTAATTAAATATAGTACCTAAAGATTGTAGCCTATGCAAAAGAAGAACCAGTATTTCTTAATAAAAAATTATACAAAAGACAAAATATTCTTATGTGCAGAAATACACACACACTCACGTGTGGCTCAGTCTATATCAATATTCAGCTTAACTAAAATGTAATATATCCCCATCCATACATACATGTATGTATGTATGTAATTGTACTTAACTTCCAATAGAAGCATTAAGCATTCATAACTGACAACAACAAAAAAAAAATATATATATATACATATATATTTTCGGTTGATTTTATTAAATGGCCTGATGCTTTTGATTTTAATACATACTTAAACAATAGTTGGGTAAATAAATAAGCTTACAGTTTTGGAAAATAAATGTTTGGATTAATTTGTTTAATTTTGATGTGTAGTTTGGAACCTGTATTGGAACGCCTTTGAAAAGCTCTTATTTTCGAAAGCAAATAAAGACAAGTAATTTTTAGCAAAAAAAACCGACTTCAACTCTCATATAAAAAAAATATATATATATATATCTCATAATCCACTGATCGGATCTTAACCAGATTAGTATGGGACCACCTCTACACTAACTTCCGATGCAAAAATAATTATCGAAATCGGTTGACGTGGTCCAAAGTTATGCGGTAACATACATAAAAAAAAAAAATATTTCGACGAACTGATAACCTCCTCCGTTTTTGGAAGTCGGTTAAAAACAACTGCATTTGTACTGCCTACTTGTAATTATTTTTCCCTCCGAAGGGAAGCTGCATCATAAACTCTGGTCATTCCATACGAATAAAAGTCAATCTTTGGTCAAACAAGCGGTGACTTTCGCTTCAAAAGATCAAAAAGAAGAGTTTTTAGATAGCCTTTTCGTTGCATATTTTGCGGAAGTACGATGCGTTGCTAACTTGTGCATAGTTAAAAATTACGTATACGCCCTGTTGGCCGTATGGTTATACACATTGGGTGGTCGGACAAGTTTTGTTCATGATTCAATAATACAAGGTTGGATAACCTGGTAGTTGTCTCGCTCCCGCATTCTGCCTTAGCCTGTGTTGCCTTCTTTTTTGCATGCCAATTGCGGCCACTACTAAAATACAAGGAGAAATATTGTCTTCGTATAAAAAGTTCAACAGGCAACACTGCCGATATTTTCATCGATTGTTTCGTGGAAATTCATTTTCTTATTGGGCAAATTCAAGTAAGTATGGCAAAAAAATCAAAAATAATGGAAATATTTTGAATTACAACAATAATTTACATATTTATTTGCAGGGTATTGGCGTAATTCATAATTTGTATTCAAAAAGTAGCGTTTTACAACAAGTGCAGGCGTTGCAAGTAAGTTTGCCATGCTAGGATCCCTGTGTGACTTGGGTGTCCGTCCACGTTTGCTGGTGCATGCATTTTTACCACTGCAGCGTTTGGGTTGGTCAAGTGCAGCCTTTGAATGTTTACAAGTAAGTATACCACTCCATAAAAGCGAAAGTGGAAATATTAATAAAGATATTTTCTCGTGCTCATTGGGACTAATTGCAGAAAAAAGTACACAACCTTACAAAAAATTAACATTTTTAAAAAACGAAATGTAAATAAATTGCGATATTGAAGGCATATTTTTAAAGTTTAACCGATATAATGATTAACAAGACTGATTGGAGAAAAAAGTAAAAAACATTCCGCAAAAATTAGATTTTTAAATAACCAAATGTAATTAAATTGCGATATTGAAGATATAACTTTTAAATGTAACCAATATAATGATTAGCAAGACTGGTTGGAGGAAAAAGTAGAAAACATTACTAAAAAATTTAAATTACCAAAAAACCAAATGTAATTCAATTTAAGATATTGAACATGTAATCTTTAAATGCAACAAACATAATAATTTTTTAAAAGATTAATTTATATGCATTAAATCAATTGCATCTTTACTATTTGTATAATTCTTCATATAGTCCCTTTGAATAAAGGATTTGTTTGAATTCCATTCATTTTGTTTAATACATCCTGGAATTTCAATGAAACCATGGTTTATTTTGAATATTTGGGAGCATTTCTTCAAAGATTTCAAAGATTTTTCTTTGGAAGAATTTTATGTGAATATCCATTTATTTCATTTTTAATATTTATGTGGCCATAAAAAGTTAATTCATTGTCTATTGTGTAGATCAGTGGAATCTTCTTTATATATTTAAATCAATTTGTATACAAAAGCGCGTTTCGGCACTACCAGACTACTTACTTTTCCTACTACCTTTTCACAAAAGGAGATAAAATTGTTATCCGCTTCTCTTTCCTCCTCAAATGCAACTTTACAAGGCAGTCGATTGACACAAATGTCAATATTTATCCAACCTTGTATTATTGAATCATGGTTTTGTTGCATTTTACCACGTTACCACCCACGTTAATTTGCACTCGCTTTGTATGTGCCAGGTTGCATCCTAATTCGAATTCCTATTTCGAAATGGAAAGATTATTTCTTCTATTCGATGTTGTTAAACGAAAAATGTTGTTGTTGTTGTTGTAGCAGCATACAAGTTACCCAAAGGGTTTTTGGAGAGTGTTGCTGGAGTGACAGTCATTGGCCAGATATAAATCTGGGTCGTTCCGGTTACGTAGACCCGACTGTCGCGGGAACGAACGAAAAATGTTCATTCATAATGAATAAAACTCCTTCCGAAATAAACATTCTACTGGAAAAGTGCAGTTATACTAAAAAAGCTAACCGAATAGGCAGCTGAACGCAATGTACCGTAATTTTGATTTTAAAATTCTATCGCTGCCTTATGGCCCTATTATGTATGGCGACTGATAGCAGATGGGCAACCGTAGACTGAAATTCGCATTAAAAATGGAACAAGATTTGTATTACAAGTGATGGACAATATATATTAGTTCAAGCACGATAAAGCTAAAAGTATGGTTCATAAGGATGCCTTAATCCTTTAATTTATGCTGAACTGAATATTTGTACTAATGTTTTATATTTTCATTTGTTTACTCCGAACGACGTCGGGTGCTCTGCTAGTAAAAGATATAAACGATTTCCGTTTCATACCTATGTATTTCATTCACTTGCTGTTGGATGGCGCTGTTTTCAATCAGCCTTATCATGGGCGGATGAATTTGTTTTCGGGCGAAATTTGAAAAACCGCCTAAAGGTATGCAATTATTGGTTTTTTGAAATCAACTACAAACCACACACTCGTTCGTACACGTGATATTCACATATCTATAGAACCTATGAAAGAAAATGTGAACTTACTTAATTTATGTGAAGTAATTTGATCGAGACAAACACGTAGTTTAACCCCCCAAACCCCCCGCCACCCGCTGGATCCGCCACTGCCTCCGATTGGTGCTAAAATTGATTATAGGTAATTTTTCGTTTCCGAGATAATTGCGAAAAACGGAACAAAAAACACAAGCGGTTTTCATGGCTAGCAATTCAGTGCGACTAATTTAAGAATGTTGTGCACTGATATCTCTTAAAAATTGCTTCACGGACGGTTTTATTATTTTCTTCCATACAAAAAAAAAAACTTCGAACTTATTTTGTATGGAAGAAACTGCATGAAAATAATATCAAAAATCAAAGCGATTTTCAACCACTTCAAACTTGTACTTTGTTACACTAAAGTTGAAGGGGCTATAAAACTGTATACTTAGAATATTTCTAAAAAATCTGACGAGTTGCAAATTAGTATGGTAATTTATTGCATTTTCCTGAGTTTTGCCCAAAGTCTAGAGATTTTATTTTTATGTTTTTCTGTTGTAGTATGAATTATAAGTTCATGAAAAGTTAACGGAAAAAATTTAAATTACAAATTTTGCCCTACTTTACTAAAATTTTTCTGTATTTAAACTTTTGTCTTTTACTGTCGGTACATGCACATATATGTAACATTTTCATTATTTATATTTGCTTCAATGCAAAAAAGAGAAAATGGAAGAACAAACCAACCACACAATCAGTATTTAAATAATAAAAATACAGAATTTCGCATTTTTAATAGAAACATGAGATTATGAACAAAATTAAAAAAAAAATAATAATAATATTGTAGCATTTCCGCTTCGTGTTCACTGTTATCTTTACATGAAATTGTTGCAATCGCGTGTTTGAATTTACCAAAAGTCTTAGTCCAAAAACTAGTGTTTCAGTATTAAATGCCTCAGTTTGAAATTAACTGTCGAAATAGTACAATGAAAATTTACTTGTTGATTTTTCATTTAATTTTAATAAACTTGAACGGCAGTACCGTCACTGCAGATGACGAGCCAGACTATAAATTGATTTTAGATGCAGTGACAGCAGAGAAAGAAGATGACGATGTAGCTAAAATTAAAGTAGAGCTGGACAAAAGCGAGGATCTCGTGAAAATCAGTGGTCAAGCAGAGCTATTTGTTGATTTGGATAATACATGGCAGGTATGTATTTGTAACTACCGAAATTAAAAGGTTTAAAGGTTTTCCCACATCTTTCTACGTACTCTTTGCAGCTGAAGATTGTATTGAAAGGTGCAGGCGATTCGAATGATGAGTACAAAGATCTAATAGCGCTGCCGCTATTGGGTGTTTGTGATTTTATGAATTTTTATTACAAAATCTATCTTTACGATTCGTTGGTCAAGTATTCGAATGCACCTTCGCCAGCCGATTGTCCGGTTGTAAGGGACACCTACATTCTAAGCGAATATCCTTTGATTTTGGACAAATTTCAAAAATTCCTCCATCCTGGATTCTACAGCGTCGAGGCAATTCTGTTTCACGAAGATGAGGAGAAATTCAAATATCGCATAGAAGGTCGTGTAATAGAGGAACGATAAACCAGATCATAATCCATTAATTAAGCTATTTGCGCTTCTTACAATATATAATCTATGTAATATGCCTAGTTTTGAAGTTTGCGACACGCTACGTAGTTACGGGCTAGTTGGTGCAGTATCATTACTAAATTCCTTCAGGCAAAATTAATGAATTCATTTGTGAATAAAATATAAATATGTAAAATCCTTTTGAAAATAATCGCAGCGAATATTTGTGATAGAGTACTGGAACTTAGTGTGGAGATATGTATATTAAATCAATTCCACACCAATGGAACCTGTTTATAAAATCAAATTAAATTTGAAATAAGGGAATAAAAATAATATTTTTTAATATACCTCTCATTTATAAATGGACTAAAAAGTAGAAAATAATATTTCTCAGTCCCATAGAATTTGTTTTGATAACTTTTGATTTTGAAATTTTAGCAAAAGTCATTCTAAACAATTTATGAGATAATAATTCAACTTGCAGTGATAAGAGAACAGAAGACTATGCAAGCAACGTGCCACGTTTAGTATTTACATACATATGTATGTATGTACATGCATATACATATAACAGTAATTGATTTCATTTAAAGAAATGGCGTCCATATCCGCTGTAGCGTATGTAGTGCATATTTTTGGGCGCAATATTTAACTTCTTCTGGCGGGGCGACATCTACCCCTAGACTCTTCTAATTGTATGTCTTTGTTATGATACCTACGACGAGGTTGATATCTATACTAGGTTGCCATACATAAATGCCTTTGCTATATTTATAGTAAAAATGGTGGTCTGGACATACAACATTGCAAGTTGATAAAATCATTGTAAAATGGATGTCGAGGCTTTAAAAATTTTAGTTTGAAAATATTTTGAAAAGGCTTGCCACCTGTTTGAAAATTCAAATTTAAACTAATTATTCTAGTACTAGTACTTCGTGCTAAGTACAGTTTTATTTTTTTTGTGTGTTTTCATCATTATTTAGCCATTTTTCTTAAGTACTTTCATACCATAAGTTTTCTAAGTGTAAATAAAAAAAACCCATTTTGTAATAGAAAATATTATTTTTTAAATAGGGGAAAAAGTTTATTTTTTCTCATAACATATTTCACATTAATAATTTTTCTCACGATAATGCGATTTTTTTAACAAAAATAATGTAATGACCTCTGTAGCATCATCTTGTATAACTTTTATTTTGTTTGTTGTTTGCTTTGCAAACAGTAAAAGTACTATTTTTCGATGAAAAACCATACAAAATAGCAAAAGTTTTACCGCAGCGCAACTAGTGTAAGTTTTAGGTGAAAATAAACATCAAAAGTGAGTTCCTCGACCCAAGAAAACAATAATATACTACAAATTTCCAGAAGAATTTCATTATTTGATAGAATATTACTAATTTTTGATGTTTATACATCTTTGGTTTCGGTAGGGGTAAAATTTGCGAAGATGTAACGCATATCCCAGCAGCAAATTTCGAAGGGCTTAGCATGTGTATTTCGACAGAAAATTTTTATTTTCAGTAGAAGCGCTCTGTGTTGACTTGCTATTGTAAATGGTTGCATACATTTAGGCATATGCATAGTAAGAGGAAAAAAATACTGAAATAATCTTTACTGGGACCGTTGCTAACTGATGAACATACATGAATATATGTATGTATAATATAAATATGTATGGATGATATAATAGCTCTGATCCAGCACCTTTCGTGTAAATCCATTTCTGAAGTGAGAGTAAACAGTGAGTAACAGCAAAACGTACAGAACAAAAATAGTATCGGGTAAAATCTTGCAACTTCAATCTCTACACAACTCTCCAAAAATCGCTCTCATTTACAAGAACAGATTATATACCGAGAAGAAAATCTAAATTTCGGAATATATATAAATAGAAATGTTCAAACTATAAGATCAAAAACAATAATTGATGCGGTGTTTTCAAGATATTTAAACGCTCTTGAGTCAAAAAGATATACAAGTATCATATTTTATCAATCATACCGATAATTACCGATAATTAATTAAAAATTAAAATGAATAAAAAAAATTAGATCTGAAACTGAATAAAATTAAGTGAAATTAATATTTAATTTCTAGCCTAACCTGCATGTGTATGTATGTAACTGAATCGCCTAAGAATAGCTTTACATGTAAAAACATTATACACATTTTCGAGCTTAACTCCCTAATCTGTCATTAGAAAAAGGGATTAGCCATACAAAATTATAGTTATAAAATTAAACCGATAACTGTTTGGTGTCCAACCTAGTTTTATCGATTATAAATAGGTACTTGCGAAGAAGATTAAAATGTAAAAGTAAACAAAAATTGACGCTGGTAAGGAAAAGAAGTTTGTAACGGTATTTTTAATAAAATATTCAGTTAAAATATATTTACATAGCATAATATGTGTAGCAGAAAAAATTGACTACGGTGGCACAGAGAAGAAGTTTAACTTTTCCTCGAGTTGTCTGATTAATAAGCGCAACCAGTTCTACAGCTAACGAGCTTTGATTGATATTATATTTTTATGTAAAAGTACTTTTATGCTTTGCGTACGCATATGTTTACACATTAAATTTCATGAGTACCTAGTACTCACGCCGTTTTTTTTTTAAGCCGCATAAAAAATAAACCGGATCTAAATATAGGCTTAGAAGGATTTTGGAATTTTTCTAAGGGAGTTGTAAACTTTCGTTTAAGTTTGGTTTCATCACCAGACAGTGTGTGTACGTAAACTTTTTTAACAAATGATTAGAATACGATCTGGCCCTGGTGATCTCCAGTTTTGAGTGCTCTCTACAGCTTTTTTGATATCGGCCTTAGCGAAAGTCATATCGTGGTTCCACGCTTATTTAATTTGATTTAATTTAAATTAATTTTATTATATAATTTTTCTTTGATTCCATTTAATTTAATTTTATATTATTTTATTGTTTTATTTTAATTTTTTATTTTATTTTACTTTTATTTTATTTTATTTTATTTTATTTTGTTTTATTTTATTTTATTTTATTTTATTTTATTTTATTTTATTTTATT